TTGACATTACTCACATATTTTGGCTTCATTTTTAGTAATTAACCCAAAAATATTAGAGATAAATGATAAAATAAAATTATGTTGGGTAAGAAAACAAAAAATATTAGTTATGTGAATTATTTGTGAGTGTAATCAATTTAAGTTTTACTTGTGCCACTGCATTCGTAACATTTGCCAAATATTTTACCAAACTATTTGGCACAAAAATTTTGTACGAAATTCTTGGATAAATGAAACTGAAATTAATTTAATTACATTCAGTTTCACTTCTAAACTTAGTTTATTGTTTCTGAAAATGTAAGCGGAAGTGGAGCATACGAGTTCTTACAAAATTTTAAGCTCTTGGCAGTCATAAATTTTTGTAATATATAAAAGAGTTTCTCTAGAAATGAATTCTTCCTTTTAGATTAATCTAATTCAATTTAATTTTACAAACAGCTTTAGAAACTTTTTTTTGTAATTTTATTAACATTAATTTTGGTACTTTTTTTTATGTAGTTAATATATACATAATTAAAAATGATGTATGGTGTTTACTCTAATGTTGCTAACTTAGTAAAGGAATTATCAAAGAATATGTAGTATATGAAATATAAACCAGTATCCTCTTATATTTATAAAAAGTTCACTAGTAATGTCTGTAATGTCTAGTAATGTCTGATTAGTTAATAGGTTTTGCCATCGTAGCATATGGCAACTTGCGGTAAAATTACTTTTGGGAATTTTTACAGAAATACAATATATGATATTATTACATGGATTAGAGACTTGGCTTGTAACGGAGGAGACTAAAAATACAATACAAACTTTCATCAACCACTGCTTGCGAAACATAATAAAGATATGGTGGCCAAGAACGATATCAAATGAAGAACTCTGGAGGCAAACTAACCAAACTAACTTCAAAAGCGAAAATATGGGTGAATAGGCCATACCCTACGTAAGCCTTATGACGATATCCCGCACGCAGCGCTATCATGGAATCCCCAAGGAACCCGGCTTAGAGGCAGTCCAACGACAACATGGCGAAAAACAATTAATCCCGAAAATGGCAAATCGTTTAACGAACTTCAACAAATTTCGCAAAATAGAGATAGTTGAAAATTATTTGTTGCATCCTTAAGCTCCTAATGGAGTATGGAATAAATAATAATACAATATACAACGGAAAAAGGAGTTAGGCTCTGCCTAAATACGGATACGGATATGAAAGTATAATATTTTTCATACTTACATATCCGTGTTATAAAAATTACTTACAAGTCTTATTATAGTAGTATTACATTTAATTTTAATATTATTAAAATTTTTAATTACTTTAAAATTGTGTATATAATAAAACGAAATTTCTTATTACGAAATAGCAATATATCAACGTAAAAATTCTCATAACTACATACGTTTCTGTTGATGATTATGTTGTTACCCTGATATGTTTCTCTTTATTTTTTGTTGAGTTTGTGATAATGCACTGACTTCCTTCACAAAGTTATTTCTAAAGCACACAATATTTTTACTTTAACATAATTTTAAGAGCTCATAAATCTCCTGAAAGCACTACACTGGGAAAAAAAATATCAACTACACCAGAAGTTGCAACACCAATGGTTAAAGTGTATGAATAAAATTTTTTTTATTATTCTTTTGTGAATCCATGGGGCTTCTGGTATTTTTTCAAGTTTTTCAACTTATTTTATTAAATTTGAAATTAAGCTCAAGCATTAAATAATAAAGACTTACAATGCGTCACACGTTGTCAACTACAGATGAGTGCATTCGCTAGTTAAATGCATTCGAACGCAGCATGCAACACCAGAAGTTGACAATGACACAAAGCCTAAGCAAAAAGTATATGTATTAAAAAAGTAAAAAATATATAAAGATAAAGAAACTTCAGAGTTTCAAGTCACAGGCATCCCAACTATTGCTATAGCATCTTGGTGGAAAAGTGTTACTGATGTTGCAGTATCAGTTATTTATGTTGCAGACAACGAAAGGCAATTTGTAAATTGGTATTAACTACTAAAAAAAATAACATAACAGTTAAGAAGTCAGCAACTGTTTCCTACGCGTAAACATAATTTAATTAGTTAACACATTTTAATTTTGTTTACCATTACAAAAAAGATATAAATTAATAAAATTTTTATCGCAATTTAAAATTTTAATTTAATTAAGAAATCGTAAGTGTCAAATGGGAAATCAATTAACAACATTTCAAACGGACAGCAAAGCAAACGGAACCGTCTAAATATTTGATTTAGAAGCACTCGAGAGCAAAATGTTAAAAAAATTACATTTAATACCATATAAATTGAATAAAATAATTAACTTGTATTTGCAGTCAATGTTGGACCAAAATGGTCATTTTAGAATGCATTTAAAAATATTTTGAGAAAAAAATATTTTTGATTCATAAATTTTCAGCAGGTGATTATTTTTCTTGTCGTAAGTGACAGAAGTGATTACGATCAAAAACAGCAAAACATTAAATATTTATGAGCAAATATATCGCAAGTGTTTATAATTGACCAGCTAATCTTACTATAGTATATAGATACAGAAACACTAGTTTACCAGTTGCAAGTTAGTTTACTCAAACAGATTTGCTACTAAAAAATTTTATACCATTTTTAACTGATTTTGCATTAAATTTTTATTTGGACATTTTTATGTTTGACATTAAGCCGTTATATTTTTTTTAAGACATTCATTTAGTTTTTAAAATAATTATTAAAAATAAAATCATTTATATAAAAAATATATCTGTTCTGTACAACTAACAAAAATTGCATATAATGACGCCAATATTTTTTTAAAGAATAACTCATACGCACGGTTGAACATATGAAGCAATATAAACGCTTTTTCTAATAAAACGATCTTTCATAGGGATTCATTTCCTCTTATGATTCAATCAAATTCAATAGTTCCTCTACAAGTCAATGGGGGAAACATATTTTATTATTAGTATTACCATATTTGTTACAATATCAGATTGTATAAACTTAGCCCATTCATATTAATTTTTTATAAAGAATTTTATCTATTTTATCGATTTCTCGCTATGTAAATCAAATCACTTATTAATTTCTTCATTCCACGTTCAATTGTTCTACATCAGGTACTGCGTAGACGACCTTGTGGTCCTCTACCGTGTGGGTTTCAGAATACGGTGTGTGCTGTTTCGTTTGTGTCTTTGCGTTATGTGTAACCTAACCATCTATATTTTCGCAACGATATTTCCTGATCTAAAGATTTCTGTGTAGTAGGAAGCCACAGCCTTTCGTTTATTTTTAGCCAACATATCCGCAAAATAGACCGAAAACATTTATTGACAAAAC